CCACTTGAAATTTAAGTTGCCCCAGGATTAGAGCTATGGGTCTATTTATCATTTAGTTTGTGATGTGCATAAAGCTCTTCAGTATTTGGATGGTGCTACCATTGAAATGCAGATGATATTTTTCTCGTATTTCCACTGCGACAGTGTTACTGAGATAAAAACCCAAACCACCCACTTACTTAGAAAAAGCATATCTCAAAGACAGAAGAAAATCTTCTCTTTCTTGTATCTCTCTCACTGGAGACATAAAAACCATGCAGCTGAATTATTTCCAAACAGCTGTATCGCGTGATGGACTTTGACCCTCTCGCTTGTGTTGAACCTGAATCTTGAGTCTTTTTTCTTGACGATAAGCCCAAATTTTTTATTTCTGAAATTCAACCATGTTGTTCCAATGTGTGCCTTTTGCACAGCCCTCACCCATTTTTCCCAGTTGGTTGTTTAGTCCCTTAAAGTGTCTTCCAGAACTCTATTTCTCATTAGCCATTGTTTAGTCACACTGTGTGGTGTGTACATGTGTTCACTCCACTTTTGTTTCAGAAGAAGGATTAATTGCCCCAAGAAGTTCTGTCCATGTTTTGGTTTTGCCAGTGTTTCTTTTCTAAAACAGCCTTTCATCTTTACTGTCAAGATTAAAGGGAGGAAACCTCAGATCACAGTATTGAATGGTGGGGGAAGGACTTAAGTCATCCAGGGAATGTTTGGGGGACAGGCATGCAAGCTTTATTAGAGGACAGAAAAGAGTGAAGGAATCTGCAATTTAAACTGTGTGTGAATCCTTCTACTCCGGGCTCCCCCCGTGCAGCTCCGTTTGTAGTAGTGGCTGTGGGAAGAACTAAATCAGAAGTCATTAACTTGCAAGTCACTGGCTTTTTTTGTGGTTCTCTGCAATAGCAGCAGACTGGTCCCAGTGATCCAGAGGTGCTCCTGTGTTGGATTTGGTGGATGACTCCTGTAACTGGTCTGAATTTCCCTGTCAAACACTGGTGTAGACAAGCTACAAGAAGTTTGGAAGCCTGATTAGGTCGTCTGTTCCTCTAATTTTTTCACCTGTACAGAGCAAGCCTTTTTGCCATGAATCAAAGAGGATGAAATTTGAAGAGACACGACACAAAGGACACCCAGTGGTTGCACTATTTTACAGTCTTCAATCTAAAAACGAGAGAATGATCTGTTGCTGATAATTTTGTTGTTGATTATGAGATTATTATATTTGGTATGTTTTATTCAGGCTGGGAAGAACTGGGAGGTGGTGTGATTGGGTGTTTTGTTTCCTAAATAAAAGATCCTGAGTCTTGTTATGCACCTTAATTAGCACCTTCAGCACTTGTTTCCACCTTATATAGGAGCTGATGAAACCTCTAGAAAGTAATGTGAATCTTCCTGTTGACTTCAATAGACAGCAGAACGGGTCCAAGATCTGTGCTGAGCTGACTTCTGTAGGCTTTAACAAATGCCATTCCACTGCCTCTCTCAAGGCTTTGCTTCACTCAGCTTCCTTACATTCTGACCTTGCAATGATCCTTACTGTTCTCCTTTCTAATCTATTTCAAGCAAGAGCGTCTTTTCTTCTCCACCCTTTAGAAAGATGTTTGGCTAGAGCACATATTTGCAGGCATCACTGAAAAGTAATTGCGTAAGGAGAAGTTTTGGCTTGGCCAACATGGTTACTAGCTCAGCTTGCTTAGTAAGCAAGCTTGGTGGATGCACTCCTCCCTCCCCACCCTCTTCCTCCTCTGAGGGCCAGAGCCCAGGTTCCAAGTCTTACACAGGGTAGCCAACAAAGTTCAGCTTCTCTCTGAAAGCAGAAAGTAAACCAACAAGGGGACTGAGACTGGGTGCAAAAGGGTTAATAGGAGCACTGCACTTCCGCTCCAAGAGGCTGCTGCCACTCATCAGGCTGGTTATAGTTACAGCTTTTCCATTCATCCCTGCCGAGCAAACAGCACACCTCTGA